AAAACCGCGCAGCAGGTCTTGGTTTGTTGGAGTCTTCCAATTCACCACGGCGTCAACCTTGTGCGGGTCCATACGAATTCCGCAGTCATCAACGACATGACCGAGGACCTTCAACTCAGCCTGGAGGAAATGAAGCTTCTTCTCAGACAGGTACAACTTCTCGCGGACGAGCACATCAATAATTGTCTTCACGTGCCGCACATGCTCCTCGACAGTATCCGAATAGATGATGATATCATCCAGATAAACATCCATGAAGACGCCTATATACGGAGCAAATATGTGGTTCATTAACGCCTGGTACGTCGCCGGAGCGTTACAGTCTCCTTGCTGCATGACCAGACTAACCATTGTTCCATCAGGCGTCGTCATCGCCGAACGCGCGACATGTTCGTCTATAATTCGAATCTGCTCATACGCGTCCTTCCCGTCCATACTGGAACGAAACAAATGTGCGGCAATACGGCACAATATCGCTTCAATATTGGGCATAGGAGTAGCCATTTTGATAGTGTTGGCGTTACGCTCGCGCAAATCGACGACGATGCGTAGCAGCTTCGTGCCAGGTTTATAAATGTGCAGCATCGGAACGGCGTTCCCAGACGTCGTGATCTGCCAACGACCAGACTTCAGATACGCATTACGCTTCTCCACCCACTGCTCCAGTAACGGTTCGGGGCACCGAGACGGTCGCCATTTATACACCCGTTTCTCGTCGATCAAAGGTATCGTGTGATTTATTGCGCGCATGGGAGGCAAATCGGTCTGATCCATTGTCTTACAGAGAGGTCTTGCATACTTGAGCAACTCTTCGCGCGCACGCTCAACATTGGCGGCGTCAAAGTTGACTGCCATCGAGGCCAAACGTGATACACCAGGTCCGTCAAGCAGCAGGCATGCTTCTGAACCCACAACAACTCGCGCGGGATTCAACCCCAATAGAACGCGATGTTGGTACATAAACGGCGTACCAAGGATCAAGTCGTAGTTCGAGATGTTGATCACGTCGAATATACGTTCCTCATTTATGGCTTGATAGCTAATGCTAGCCTTACAGGACCAGTTTATCTTGGTACGCAAGCCCTGTACAGCCAATTGCAAGGGAATGGGCTTCGCAAGCGCAATCCTGTTTTTACGGCCTAGTTGATCTGCCAGCGTCGAGGACATAAAGTCGCCCAAGGATCCTGAGTCCAGTAACGCCTTCGCGGGCTTACCATTTATTTCTACGGTTACAACAACAGGCGAAGGTACAACGCGCTCCCTATCCTTTACGACGGCCGCGTTACGCTGCAGTGCCGGTAACTTATCACGATCAACCTGGATGCCGAATAAACCGAGCTCATCCAGCAGTTCAGTGTCGTCGTACACGTAGAAGTACGAAGGATCCTTGAGGTAGGGTTCTAAAGGATAGAAGCCGTTGTTCACTAACATTCTGGCCAGGCGTTCCAACGCAAGATCCATCCCATCGCGATATAGGTCGGCGATGTCATACTCGGGTTCACGAAGGAACGGTCCATCATCCGGGTTAACGGCCCAGGGCACGGCATGCTTCGCATACCAGGATGCTAAGTTCAGGTGCTCGTTCCGAAGAAGCCTACCACTAATCACTGCGTGGGTTTCTAGTTCATCCTCCGAGATGTGCCAACGTTCTCTGGCTGGACCGTATCCATGGATTGTAAACGAGCTGTCCACTAAATGCTCATCCCAGGTAAGCTTGTGCTTCAAATGCATCCTTGCGTTGAACTCAATAGGCTCAATAGTGGCGCTATAAAATTCTTTGTCCGATACACCGGCCCAATCAGGAGCCACTCGGTCGACTAGGACCTGCGTGTACCACAATCCCAGTTTGAACGAGTTACTCCACAAGACATCAGCGGGCACCTGCACACGCACGTCATGCATTCGGTCCGTCACCTGATAATGGGAAGGTGAGCACTTCTCTATAGAGAACTGCAAGTCCGTCCATGGATATTCACGGTGATCGTCACCTGGTAGTCCCAAGTCACGACTTAACTCCAGCATCCAGGTATATGTATTCGCATAAGCATCGCCTAGTTGGTTGCTGCCATAGTGCCTTTTCAGGAACTTCAACCAACGTGTTCCGATCTCCGTGATGTCTTCCGAATCCTCATTGGAATCCACACAGTCGCCGCCGAGCAAACCAGAGGTATCCAAGTTCGAGGACTCTGTGAATTCTACATGGGAGCTGTCTTCGTGTGATCCCAACATGGCTAGCTCGATACACGTAGAGTTCTCTTCGTCGGGCAGGTACTCGTCAACCATATGTTCTGAGAAATCTATGTTATCGACGCGTATACCCGGCGGTTTACCTCCTTTACCAGGTAATGTATTTGCTTTGGGGCAATTTCGTGCGATATGACCCGTCTGTTTGCACAGGAAACATTTGCCCTCGGACTGGAGCTTCTGACGCTCCTGCGCCGAAATGTCCCCACGTCCAGCAGGCATTCTATTATGCCTATTGCCCGAAGAACCACCAGACGCGGTGTTTTTTATCTCGCTACCAGATGCCTGGCCCGAACGACCCATATTGCCTGACGAGTTTCGACGATTATCATTTCAGAAGTTGCGTGAACGCTGAGCGGAGTTACTTCCAGGTCTGCTTGTACCGTTCGAGCTATGCAATGAGGATGCTTTTGACGGAGTTGACACATCCTTCCCATGCTTATCAACTCGCACCTTATCCTTGCGAATGCTCGAGAGCACGATCTCCTCGTTTTCCGCTTCCGCGACTACTTCGTCCCAAGAAGCGTCCTCAGGATTCAAACCCATTCGTCGACAAGCAATTGCGAGTTCAGGGTTAAGGCCACGGAAAAGATGCACAACACGTTGACGTGTGTCCAGTCCTCCAATGGTATTTATCATGTCGTACATCTGCGCGGCATATTCCTTGACTAATAGCTCGCCCTGGTAGAACCTTTCGAGCTTACGGCGCTGCTTTTCCCGGAAATTGGATGGGAAGCACGCATCATAAATGGCTTTGAAGTACTCCTCGAGCGTCCAGTTTGACTCGTCGTCCGCAATGACGTTCTGGTAGTAGGCCTGTGCCTTGCCTTCAGTATAACGAGCAAGGGCCCGGATCTCTTTTCGTCGTTCCACCCGGGCGTCATCGAGGTAGTGTAAACCTTCGCGCATCCACCGATTGAATAAATCAATCTTAGGTTCACCTGTAAATACAGTAGGCGCGACTGCTTTCAACTTCGATGATGGCTTTTTTCTCTTGTGACGAGAAGACCGCAAACCTCTTCGGTAGGTGCGTCAAACGCATTGACGACTGGATCGAGCCCTCCAAGCCGTAAGATAGGCTCGCCGCGCTCTCGCGGGTCGACGCTCTTGCCTTTATCTCTAGGCGTGGACTCAGTGTCCATGGAATCGTCATCCGTAACGTGTACGGATGCACGACGCCTCAGGATCGCGTCTCGCTGATCCTGGGTCAATAATTCCTCCGCGCGCCTGATATCGGCTTCTTGAGTGGGGGAGATTTCTGGAGTAGGCGTGCGGAGAGGGCGTCCGCCACGACCAACCGTAATCCAAGGGTGTTCCTCAGCGGGAGAGGACCTGGATTCTTCGGGGTTATCATGGATGACCACCCCAGCATTCGAGCTGGCATTCGAGGCTCTAGGAGAGCCGAATGAAGTATCCCTTCGAAGGGGAGAGGTTTCTCGCGGGGTGGTGAACCCGACACGAGTATTCGTAGCGGCGACGCTGGAGTACGAAGCTCCCGTCCCGCTGTTCTGGTTCAAGCTCGAGTCATCAGCGCTGGGTGTTAGTGGAGGTAAGGGGGACTCATCCGGGATATAGGCGGCTGGCATAGCCAACGGCGTCTGAGGCTCAGACGAGGATGCGGGATGAGACATTACTCCAATAGGATTAAACTAAACAATACTAGGTTAGTAAAATAGAGAAACTGAGTTACTTAACGGGATATAGTCGGATAGCCTTGGTTGATCAGACCGAGGGGTGCCCGAAGAGAGAGATTACGAGAGAGAAAGAGATAAGATGAGAGAGTCGATGTGAATGAGAGATGAGATGGACGAGATGGTTCTGTCAAAAATATGTGGCGAGAGACAACCGGTAAGGGAAGTGTCGCGTCACACGAGGTCGCACAGGGGAATGACAGGGGTAAGTCGTCCTGATTGTGCAACGCTGCCCTACAATGTACATAGGGCTCGTAACTATATAGTAGACTACCATTGACTCTGTCAGAGTATATAAGCTAAATAAAGGAGTGACTAAGGTTAGACTAATGATAGTAAATATACTAAGGAGTGTAGCTATAAAGGAGTGTGACTAACCAGCGCTAGACGTGGCTTTACCGTATTGGGTATATTTCTGTTACAGCGGGGGTGCGTGATAGCAGTATAATCAAGTAAACGGAGGATTGGATGGGGGGCAGTCGGGTGTGCGATGGTGCTGGAAGGCTGGAGCGGCAGGCCGATAGCGGGCCCTGGCAGTCCTATGACCCGCGCTCATGTCATTCGTCGGGGGTACGTCCCAGTAGGGTCGGTTTCTGGTAGGATTTATGCGATTAAAGTAAAGGACCATCGATCGTCAATCATCAATCATCAAACAAGCTCAAGGCAGGTCTCCCTCCTTCACGATTCTCCGCCTGGAGGAGAGCGCAAATATTCATAACAGATTGGGGAATTGGGCGTCGAGAGTTGAGCGGCTGGGGCCGGGTGCTGGATTGAACTGGCGAACTGGCGTCAACGGAGTTGTGTTGATAAGAGCATGAGACACACCTAAGCGTGCATCTGCGTTCATCCCCACAGCTTCGCTGAGTTCACTCGCATCTGCCGTGAGCGATGAACATGTCGAAACTGTTGAGAGTAGGATCAATCCACACACGGTACACGAACATTTATTTCTTTCGATACCTATTTCCATATTAGGCGCCCTCCTATGAGAGGCGCTTATCCCATTCCACGTACCTCAGCTTCGACCATATACTTGGATCGACTGAGGTACGCTAATCCCTTGTTATGCCCGGTAATAACTTAGCGATACTCACGCATACCATCGTAGAACTCTAGTAACTAACTCGGTTCTACAGGTACTTATATTCTTAACAATATACTGAGCTTCGACCATATACTTGGATCGACTGAGAACTCTAGTAACTAACTCGGTTCTACAGAAACTACTGAACGGATTCGCAAGAAAGCACGGCTACCCTTTTAGACGCCGCGTCAGACCAAGCGCCCAACGCCGACGCGCCCAACGCGCCCAAACTGTTGCCACCCCTGTCATCTTCCTTCATCACTGAAGGGGACCCGTCGGTGATTCCTCCAGAGCACCCGTATCGCACATTGGTACTTTGGCAAGTAGTATCGTCCCCTGGCGTCGGACAAAAATCAGAACCATCTACGCACTGCTCAGTTTCGACGGACCTGGCGATCAGTTCGATGAAGATGTGCGTACTCTCATACGCGAGAAATTTCGATCACACTAACTGTTCGACATTATATAGAACTCGAATATCGTTCAACTTTTTACGCTGCTGAAGAAGGACAATAGGGATGTGCAGATGGTGTACTACCAGGTAACACTATTATCGATACCTGCCGAATTGCCTCTATATTCATATGTGTCTAGGCGGGGATTGGGACCTATACGTCTCCCAACATTGCGACTCCCCTCATGGCAAAGGTGTCCAAGGTGAATGAATTTGGCGAGGATATCTTGCGAATTGTCGTGGACCGCGAGCATAGACTCTCGACGAAATGGTTGCCTGGAATTTGGATAGGCACGTCATGGGTAAGTTTGTCCATGGTATGCGATACCACGTCCGTCACTGACGACGACTGATCAGACGGATATGAATTTTTGATGCAGAACTGTAGGTTCTATTGAGTCCAAGTCCTTATTCAATATACTTTCCGACGTTTCATTTATGCAGACAAAGCGGGCGATCGCATCTGTATCTTTGGATTCTCTCGTGGTGCCTATACCGCTAGAGCACTAGCAGGCATGATTCACAAGGTATGTATACTTTTTCCGAGTGTAATTTTCGTGCTGACAAGTCCATCCGGGTGCTTAGGTGGGATTACTTCCTGCGTGCAATCATCAGCAGGTCCCGTTTGCATACAAAATGTTTAAACGGGCGGACGAGACGGGTTGGCAGCAGTCCAATGCCTTTAAGAAGGCCTTCTCAGTCGACGTGGATATTGAATTCATCGGCGTTTGGTAAGTTTCGTCATTTTCAGTTGAAAAGAGATCTTTATGACTGACCAATGAATCCAGGGACACTGTGAATTCGGTGGGCTTGATCCCTCGAAGGCTGCCATTCACTACCTCAAACACCATTGTTCGCACGTTCCGGCACGCAGTCGCGTTGGATGAGCGCCGAGCCAAATTCAAGCCGAACCTCTGGAATCGCCCAAACCCCAAGGAACAGACGCTCAGCGCGTCTGACCGCAACCGCAAGGCGCACAAAAAGCACGCTAACTCTACAACCCCGCGCCTGAAAGCCCTTGAAAGGAAATATACGAAGGACCATAGTAGACAAACTGACGTGGAGGAGGTACGTATTGGATTACCTCGCCCAACATCGTGATAGAGATAACAAGGACTTTCTATGCTAGGTGTGGTTCTCTGGTTGTCATTGTGGTGGGTCGCTTTCCTCGACGTCGCGTCCTTCTCTTGACAAGTATGTACAGACGTCGGAGGCGGGTCGGTTCCTAACGACACGCAGCACTCTCTTGCGCGGATTCCTTTGCGCTGGATGATTCGCGAGTGCTTCAAGACCCACACCGGGATCATGTTCGACTGCGAAGGTCTCCAGGCCCTTGGCCTTGATCCTGGTGCATTGTATCCGGAAGTCCTTCCGCGCCCTCCGATGGCGCCTCCCACTGGTACCTTGCGCATCCAGGACATCCCCAAACCGATCTCTGGGGCACCCGACGAAGCTCATCTGCCTAACTTCGCTGATGTTGGCGGCTACTCGTCTGCTCTCTATAAATCCGAGGAAGACCATGATGTGCTCGACTTGCTGTCCCCCGTGTACGACCAGCTGTCTCTTGCCCCGTACTGGTGGCTACTCGAAGTTTTGCCCATGAAGCAGCGATACCAGAAGGGGGATAATTCGTGGGGGTCGTATGTAGGCTTCAACTTGGGCGGCGGGAGGTTCATTCCGAAGCAAAAGAAGCGCGGTGTCAAGATACACCGGAGTGTGAAGATGAGAATGGAGGCGTTGCATTCGAACGGTGCCAAGTATGTCCCGCGAGCGTCATTCGAGAAGGCACCAGCAGCTGGAACGGTTCAGTGGGTAGACTAGATCTTTGGTTCAGACGCCGTATCATTTCCTCATTTCATGCATGTTGTAAGGGTTGAACCCTTTCGTTCCGTGCAGTCCGACCTCCCCTATCTCCTATCGACCCCTCTCCGACTCTTCGGACACACTCGCACATGACTCGGACGTCACAAACCCGTTCCGGACACACGTGATAACGGATCAGACAGCTCGGATCATTGTTTCGTATCTTTTGCTTTCGGACTCTAATACTTGGACTATACTAGCACCATCACTCGTTCCTGGTGCCTTTTCGTTTCGGACTTTTCCTTCATCTGACATTTTTCGTAGCTACAAAAGCCTCCTGTACTCGTAGTTAGAAGAATCAGATTTGCTTCCCCCCAACATCGAGTCAGAATCTAAGTCGCCCGAGAAGCTTTCCTCCTCCGTTGTCAGAGTTCGCCGTCGTCCGAGTCCGAGTCCGATCCGAAGCCAGTTCTCCTGCCGTCCTTATCATTCTCCTGCCGTCCTCGTCGTACTATCCGAAGCCGAAGTCGTTCGCTCCGCGTCCCAGCGCGTCCGAAGCTATCCGAAGCCATCCGAAGCATCCGAAGTTTCCTAGTCGTTGTTTTCACTCTCGGACTCACCGTTTATCACACTTAGTTCATTCGGGTGTCGCACGGACTTGTCCTGCCGGAGGCGGACCCTCGCATTTTATTTGACTATACTACTAGTCTACGTGTATATTCACTACTACAATGTCCACGCCAACTTCGCAATTCCAGTACTGTACAGATCCCGATATCTATGATCTAGTAGTTTAACTGTCAGGTACGCATATTGATGGACGACAGTATTCACAGAGTATCCCGTACGCAGTGGTGGCGATGAGAAACATAGAAGGAAGCTTAATAAAGGAATTGTATTCCCCAATGCAGCATGTAGGGGACCACTCGCGGAGTGTACTTTAAGTCGAATCAGCGAGGCACGAACCACGACCCCTGGCTAGGCATAACCGACCCGATCAACCACCATCTACTCGCGAGCCGGGGAGTGGGTGATTGGAAGAGACTTTGAAAGTAGACGGCGATAGTAGATCCCCGGTGAATTTCCAATCGGCGAATTCGGAATTCACGCATAAGAATGACGCAGACGGGTCTTTGTCCTGGCAAAGGCAGTTCCACGCAAATGGCATCCGGCAGGTGGAGTCCTCAGCCGGTGGCTACATCTGTTCGACGGGGACTTCGATGAAGTTGGCCGTGCGGGCAGAAACTCAATAGGGATGTGGTGGTAGGTGGTCTTGGCTTCCAATCAATTCCAACGACAGGGCGCTCGTTTCCCTTGAACAGCGCGATGGCGAGGTAGATATCTATATCGTAGGGTGTTCTGGGTTGGACCTCGGCATAAAGATATGTTTTACGTTCCCGCCTAAGTTGGTACCGACAAAGGATGCAGATCGTTCGGGGTGAGGTGGGGGGATAGTAGACATATCGCCAAGTAGGCATCGGTCGTGTTCGAGAGTTGAACGCCATAACGCTATACCGATTCCACGTAATATCCAGCACAAAACGGAGCATTAGGAGATTGTACCAACACCAATACCAATGTGTTCGCGTATCCAGGTATATTCTGGAGTACTTGAGGTTTTGGGCTATCCACAGCAATGAAGACATTTCAAGTCCATCGAAGAAGCGATACAATCGACACGGGACACTACTAATGCGTGCAAAGATAAATAAATTTAGCTTGACGGCGGTCTGCTGTGATCGGACGTGCTTTGTCGACCACCTTCCTCTAAGCCACCACCTCGCCCCTGCCGTTGTCGCCTCCGCTCGTGATGGTCGCCCTTCTCTATCACTGTCTCGCCTTTCCCTTATGCTTCCTCATCATATTCCCCTTCCTGGTCGACAATGGGGCGAACGCGGGAACACTACCACCCGGCGCACCGTGCTCGCCGGCACACGATCACCTCGATCTCATCTCACACAAATTTGTCTCGCAGTGCAGCGATCTAACATTTTGCAGAACGTCCAATAACGACACCGTTGGTGATTTAAACGTCACGCTTAGTGGCGGAGAAGGAGGGAATGGGACGTGCATACCCCGCCTATGCCGACGCGACGAGTTTCCTTTCGGATACGACCGTGAGGAGGATATATACGGTGTTGACGTTCAGCCAGATCTGCCGCCAATGTGCGCCCAAGACATGTATTGCCCTGACGAAGGCAGCGGGTGCAAATCCGTCCTAACCCCAGGACAAAAGTGCCAGATGGGACGAGACGAGCAGTGTGATCAGCGATATTCAAGTGCATCGCTGTCCGAGCCGAATGATCCAGTGAACAGTACAATCGACTTGGCCGTGCGCTCTCGCGACGTAGACGGAGGGGCTGTGGGAAGCTCTAGCTCTGGCTTTGGGAGGGAGAAAGTTTTCCAGATCCCTCCCAAGTTACACGCAAACGAACTGGGAGCCGATGGATTGAAAAATGAAACGGGAGGAGAAAATCAGACGGTCAGGGTCCTTTGCTTGCTGCAAACTTGCACGTGAGTATCCCTTTTCTCCTATCCCTCCTGTCGAGTCTCGCATCTCCTCCTCTGAACCCGCCGATTTCATGGTTTAGCGTTGCAAGAATCGGGGCCGATGAACCATGCATATTTGAGAACACAACATACGCGTCGTACGACGCACAGGGTGTGCTCGTGGAGTATAACATCTATCGGGATAACTGTCTCTCCGAGGGTGGGCTGTTCTGTGGTTTGGAGAGTAAGCGGTGTGAGCGTAAGAAAGAGCTTGGGTGGGCATGTGCTACTGATGTTGAGTGCGTCTCCGTGAGTACTTCCTTCACTTCCTTCTCAATCTAGTCGCTTCTCGTTAATACTCATGGCCTAATGCTAAAACTCTACCATTCCAGTTTAACTGCATGCAGGGCATATGCACGCGGTCACCCGAGACGCCGTACGTGGTCGCGCCTTGGCAATACGCGCTCACAATACTCTCTATCGTCGGAGGTGCGTCGGTTTGATGCTTCTGGTGGTCATCTAATCAATGTGCATTCGATAGCCACGGCATCCACATTCACAATCCTGATGCTCCTGCATAAAAGGCATCGCGCACGTCGATATAGGGAGATTGGAGAGTACTACGCCGAGCAGTTGAGGTGGGTTTCATTCCTCGTTAGCTTGTTTCCTCGAGTCGAGTCGTGTATGTGGCATGGTGCTTGGCGTTATATAAACAAACAAGGGGACGAATGGGTGGATTACATGCTACACCGTGCACCGTGCACACGGGGCCCTGGTATGAGTACACTACGGTCTCTACCGCCATTTGTTCACGCGAACCATAGCTATGATGCATACGAACTCCACGATTTGATGGACCACGTCTTGGGGAACCCTTGCTGATTGGAATACTCCAACCGCTCTGCTTAACAGGCTCCGCAATGCGATCATTGCATTGCACACCAATGCGGCCGAAGTGCTCGACTACGAGTCCGACCTACCAATCCTGCATCGATATCAGAAAAATAAGTAGATGAACACACGAACACCCCTCAAACTGAATGCGCATACGCATCTAGTGTAAGTTCACGCGGGCGAGCACTCTTATATTCATTATGCATTAGTTACGCCCTTTGATGCATGTTTTATGTATTAATGACCCAGTGCCTATTGTCCCTGGAGTAGAATGGAGTGTTGCGACCCCCGAAGACACCCACTAACATATGTGTTCATGATGTCGTGTATGTATTCGCAAAGTCAACTCATACCCCGTAATTCGGCTCCGCGGGCATGAGCTGTAATGGATCAGAAGTATAAATGAAAGGGTAGGAAGACCCACGCAGATCGTGACATAGACTCGTCTTAGTAGCCGGGTATTCACTAGCTGCACGATGCGGCAGGCAGGTGTGAGCTAGTTCGAACCAGAACGTTGAACTTGAAGCCGGATTGCGAAATGTCGATCATCATCGAACGGGGAATGAGACGGCAAGCCAGCCTGGAGTGGGGCACGTTGGATTTGAACCATGGGTAACGGGCGAGTGAGCGTTCGACCGCCACGCTGCAGGCCTAGACGTGGGATGTCGGGTCTGTGATCGTGGAGCGGGAGCGGGTTCAGTGAGAGCGAATTTGATACAGAGTAATCGGAATCATGAAATTCGAAATAGCACTTTAAACCAGTAGTAGTGACGCAATGGCCGAACAAGGTCTTGGGTTTCTTAGAGTGACCTACTGCTGCCGGGCTGCTGCCGCCCCTTGCCGTCCTCAATGCCAACTCGATGCAGTCAATCGTCGTCAAGAATTCTAGCTCGGTCTCAGTAATATTCAGCTTCCGGCGGAAACAAACGAAAATGGCGGACGCCTATCGTTATGAAATTTACTGCACCAAAGCCAAGTCTCTTTGTGCAGAAACAGATGCTCGGCAGGTGGAGTACGAGTCAGCATCCAGACTGAATAGGAGCGATCGGGATGGACTTTGAAATCATACGATGGAGTAATGAGCTGGTTGGGGAATACCACCTGCATCTCAATCGGCCTTTCGCTCAACGTTCTAGTAATCAAGGTCCTGTGCTATTTTAGGCTTGTGTGTCGAGCATTGATCGCCGCCCGCAGAGTCTCTGTCCTGCTAAGACACAACGTTCGGGGAAGCGTAGGTTTATCGTATGTTCGGCATAAGTATTGTGAAAGTAAGCTAAATACCTTAACATTACCATTATGTAAAGTATCAATCAAAGTATGCTATTATCAGCCTCCTACCCAGGCTCTCCTACAGCGGTTGAGCTTGATCCTCAGTATTTTGCCTAAGTCCATCGGAGTCCGTCGGAGTCTGTAACTACTCTGGATTCGATGTGACCTAGTCGGTGACTGTAATTTTAATGTCAAGATTTCAGCACCTTCCTTTTTTAGTCTTGAGCGGAATCTCCACCGAAATTCCAAGTATGTCACAGTCAAGAAAAATTACGCAACACAGACTTCCATTGACTGAGATTTGACTGAGATATTGACTGAACTTGAGACATAAAACGGGGATGTATTAGGTAATATGAGTGAAAGATGCTATACATGCGGTGCTACCGAGCGGCGAAAAAATCAGAAACCACCGCAACGAAGGTAGCGAAGGTGCTCTCTACGATGATCTTTGCCTGACGCCGTTCGCGCGGGGAGGAATCTGCATCTTGTAAAGTATCCAAGGCGTCGTCAATGGTCTCGCGGAGCCGCTAGAATAATATCGGTAAGAACCCCAATTGTAATCAAGCGAGCTCACCTGGAGCTCAGGCGATCTCAGCTCTTTCTGTGGTGCATTGGGGCCTTCGGTGTATACCCTAAGAGTATGGTCGCCTGCCGCCACCAACCTTCCCTTGATGACTTACAGGTAATGTTAGGCTGGTCCCAGTAAGTTGAGTGATTTCTGCGTACCTGGCCAAGATTTCGATTGACCCTTGGGAGCGAGGACAGTTACCACCCCCTCGATGAGTTCGAGCGAATCGGAATAATATCCGACGTCGTACATGTCAATGTCAATTTCCGCATCGATCTTCGTAACATGTTTGATCGTAGCAAAGGGCTAGTGGAGTTGTTAGAGATTCAGTTAGGGTAATAGCACTGGGGTACTTGCCTCTTCCTTGTATAACATTACGACAGTGAATGAAGCATTGTGTTCCTGTCTGACAGTAACCCAGGCGTCGTCATCCTTTGAAGTAATGGCCAACCAAACTGAGCCTCGATCCGGACGGTGACGAACGTCGGAAGCATTCGGATTCGCAAGGTAAATGCCGACCTTGTCGTTGAAAGGAGCAAGGGCCATTGGATGGGGAGTTGGAGGTGGGTAGATCAACGGTAGCGTCCGAAATCGCCAGAGCAGGTATTTATTGAGGAAGAATGAGGAAGGGTCGGATGGGGCAGCCTCGAGGTTGTCGGCAACAACGCGCAGCATGTAGGCGGTAGGCGTTTCATGGCCACACTGCTATGATGGGTGTGCAACCATAGCCGATATCTTCGACGTCTTATTACTGGCGAACGGGGAGTGGAGCGTTCACATGAGGTAAAGAAAATGGAGATTTGATGGTGCTCGAGGGTAGGCGACGGGAACGACCGTGTCGACACGTCGACGTCCTGGTTTTTGTTGACATATACGGGAGGCGAAATGAAGGGGTGGTGCTTTTTTTGTTTCGATTAGGAATTGAAGCAAGGGGCAGAAAGAATTATGGGATACGTTCAAGGGTAGAAAAGAAGAGTTTGAGGCTGATAACGGGATGGAGTGCGAATGATTACTTACGGCGTAGGTATTTTGAGTGGAGTGTGGAGTGCGATTGGTTGTGACTTATGCATGCGAGAAAAACGAGGGGATTCGAGACTGATAACGAGAATGGCGTGTAGTCGAGATCAGAGCGAGGGATTGGAGGCCGATAACGAGAATGCGAATTTCTTCATTTCGACTGGAGTTTGGAGACGAGGGATGAGTTTGGCTAAGGTGTAGGTTGCAGAGTAGAACGAGGGGATTAATTGGCGGAAAGGAATGTCGATTTCTTCATTGCGACTGCTGAGGTGGAAGGATGTAGGTGCGTGAGATGGGTGGAAGGATGTGGGTGCGTGAGATGATAGTCAGGAGTTGAATCAATCAATCAGCCACGTCGCCACCTCTTCGACAGCAACTACTATGTATTGCTGTTGCTCAGGCTGTTTCGGCAGCACGAAGAGGGAACGTACTAGGAGGACAATACGCGCGCATCTCAAGAACGACAAGGAACTGCTACAAGGCTATAGCCACCATCCCGCTAGCATCCGATTTCTCCAGGATTGCATCGACGCAAACGAGGAACTACTTAGGCGATCACATGCACCTGGTAAGTAATTTATTCACAAAGTCCAGAGCCATAAATAAATTCCCCCAAGGTGCCAAGGCTGTAGACGAAGATGGTATGTGTTACTGAAATGTGATTGCTATACAACTGATACAATCGGTGATAATAGCAATGGATGTGGATGATTTCGGCGGCCCTTCTTTACTTCATGGTAAGTAGGCCTTCTTGCTCTGATTTCAATCTCATAATATGTGGAATAGATCATGGTGAGCAACAATTCGGACACTCTCCGCTTAACCTTTCCCCTATATTCCCCCCTGGAATTGCTAGGGTAGTCCAGGGGAAAGAACTGTGGTAAGCAAGGTATCACAATTGTCCGCAGTGTCGACGATGATTCACACAATCTACCTTGCTGTTCGGCCTGGTTCTCAAGGGGAATGTGTTTTTTATTCTTGTTTCTGCTTTTATATACTCTTCACGCCTTCGTGCGGTATTCACTCACCATTCTTTAAATGGGAAACATATTTCTAAAGTGGTAAAATTTGACAGGCAATGATGACGGTATTCAACCGATGTATGAAGGTGAGTATTATTGTTAAACATGTGTTCATATACTGACGAAGTGGTAGAAAACGAGGAGGCAGAAAGGGTTCTGCTAAATGGCATTGAGCTTTCTGAGACCTCAATACCCTCTCTTGATGCGGTAAGTACTACATCTTGGGTTAATGTCCCCCTACCTAATATGATTATTATCAGGTATATGCTGAACAGCTTCCGGCTGATCTTGACCCATATTATTCTCACATCGATGAGTTTGATGCGAGAAATACTGATCTTCACTCAGAACTTCATACCACAGAAAGTGAAGAGGATTCAATGGAGAGTTCGGATGAATCACTCTCCGATGATAGTGAGCCGCCTGATGATGACAGTGGCCCACCTAATAACAATGGTGGCCCACCTGATGACAATGGCAGCCCACTTCAAGAGAGTGGTTTTCCAATTGGAAATTGTGATAGCCCGCTACCTCACAGCGGTGGCTTACTTGCTTATGCCCAAGATACCACTGGTTCACCAGCAGGGGATGATGAGCAATCTGGGGATGATATGGGATCTGATGATGATATTGAACTAGAGGTTCAATTTCCAGTTCCTGCCTCCCAGCAGGCTCTTCGTGAAAAAATTCGTGATGGTTACATGCCAGAAACTAAGCCTCCAGATTTTGGTTTGCGCCCAGTGGCATTGACTAGGGCACAGAACTTTAGCCTACGCCAGTGGATTGTCTTCCAGCTGACAAACACAACAAGACAGGCTCATGAGAGTTACTCAAAAGTGCTATCCGAAGCACTTAATGAGCCAATAATGAGCATAGAGCGTTGTCGGAGACTAGCACAGAAAATCACCAACTTCATGCCAAAATATATTTCTATATGTCCAGGGAAATGCATGGCATTCACAGGAGATCACAAAGACAAAGTGGTTTGTGATTTTGTCCGCAAGCAAAAGAAAGGCCCACCAGTGATTTGTGGCAGAGATCGCTACTTGCCTGGTACTAATAAACCTGCTGCTCAGTTTATGGTGTTACCACTAGTGCCTATTATACGGGCAATGTTTGCAAATAAAGAGAAAGCAAGACTTTTGCGTTACAGACACAATCTTGTCCAAGCTGCTATTTGGTTACTTATCGAGGGTGGCAAAGTCAAATACTCTGATTATGCAAATAGTAAAACACATGTTGAGCATCTTTTGAAGTTGGGGCTTTTTCAGGATGAATGTGATATGATCTATATCATGTCCATTGATGGTGCTATGCTTACCTTGAAGAAGCAGTCTGATTCATGGTTTCTCATCCTCATTCTTCTCAACTTGCCTCCCGAAATAAGATATCTGGCAGAAAATGTGATTACTGTGTTCTCAACACCAGGCCCAGAGCCACCCGGTGATCTCAGCACATTTTTGTATCCTGTTATACAGGATTTGGTACAAATGGAGGAAGGTATCTGGATTTGGGATGCAATAAGATCATCTTATATTATGCATCATGCAGGTGTTGAGCATGTCGCGCTCTCCCACATGTTCGGGTGAAGTTCACCTGAATGGCCGAACGACACCCGAACGACACCCGAACGACACCTGAACGACACCCGAACAGAATCTGAACACTAGGTGAATATTTTTCACTAAATATTCTATTTTACTGTTCACGTATTGTTCACCTGATGTTCGGGTGACATTCATGTCATATGAACTGTTCATCTGAACAGTAGGTGGATTCAGATGAAAGTGACCAGGTGAAATTCACCTGATGTTCAGGTGGTGTTCATATGTTCACCCGAAATTCAGCTGAACACCAGGTGATGTTCATATGTTCACCCGAAATTCAGCTGAACACCAGGTGATGTTCATATGTTCACCTGAATTTCACCTGGTGTTCAGCTGAACAATACCTGAACAAGCATAATGACTATAATAATCAATGATCAATAATATTAATTATATAATTGAAATAAGAAAAAGCATCAGCAGGAATTGAACCTGCGACTTTTTGAATAGTTAAGCGCGCAATAAGCACTGCTACTACGAATGTTACCATTAAGCCATATTGACATCAATTAGTATATTACATTTATATGATATGATAACAATTGCCTTATCTAATCGTTATCTAATCGTTATCTAATCGTCATCTAATCGAGGCGCTTATCGCGGAGATAAGCGCCCGTCTCCAGAAATGGCAGCTGGTTGATTCCATTGCCACGTCACAACGCTTTTTACTTACCACCACCATCGACAACGTCCCCGAGCACGCACGACAGTGACAACAACGCCGACGACATGCAGCGACGAAGCCAAGACCCACGCCCACCCACGACTTGCAGCCAAGCCAAGAAGGCTCCCAGCGCCGCTGCAAAAAAACAAACCAAACCCGCACGCAAAACTACCAAAGCAACGGACAAAAAGGAAGTGGACGAGCAGGGGAAAAGGTGCGTAGACCCCCCCCGCCGCCTTCTTACTTTTACTGATGTTCCCACCCCCCATTTCCCTCCCCCCGTGCTCTCCGGCCACAACGACGACAACGACAATGCCACGCCGCCTCCCTTCTCCCCCGCGCTCTCTGGCCACCACAACGACAACGGCGACGACGCTGCCACCATGACGCCACGACGACGCTGCCACGCCGCCTCCCTTCTCCCCCGCGCTCTCTGGCCACCACAACGACGACGGCGACGACACTGCCACCACGACAATGACGCCACGACGACACAACGCTCTCTGGCCACAACGACAACAACAACAACGACACTGCCACCACGACGACGGCGACGACGCTGCCGCCATGACGATGCCGACGACGACGATGCCACGCCGCCTCCTTTCTCCCCCCGCGCTCTCTGGCCACAACGACGACGACGACGACGACGCTGCCACCACATCCACAACCACCACACCGCCACAATGCGACGACAACGACGACGCTGCCACCACCACCGCCACCACCACCACCACCCCGGTGCGACGACGACGACGCCACGATGCTGCCACAACGACGGCGACGATGCCACCACCACCACCACCACCACCACGGTGCGACGACGATGACGCCACGACGATGCCACCACCACCACGACACCGCCACAATGCAATGACGACGACAGCGACGATGCTGCCACCATCACCACCACTACCACCACACCGCCATGATGCGATGACAATGACGCTGCCACTACGACAACGATGCCACGATGCCACCACGCCACCTCCCTTCTCCCCTGCGCTCTCTGGCCACCACCACCACCACCACCACGCCGCCACGGTGCCACAACAATGACAACAATGCCGCCACCACCACCACGCTGCCATAATGCCACGACGCTGCCTCCCTGCTCCCCCGCGCTCTCTGGCCACCACCACCACCACCCACACTACATGACAACAACACCGCCGCTGCTGCTGCTGCCATAACCACTACTACAACCATCAGTGAGGATGTAGATGTGCCGAAAGGAAGACGTAGCAAGCCCGTCAGTCGACGAGGCAATACAGCTACAACACTGACGTTGTATGTACCTTGTTAGATGTGAATATAATTGATTGTTCAGATTGTATAGTACGGAGAAAGTTCTTGAAAAAA